GTACCTGATCGTGGAGTGAGGTCCTCTACTTATGGGTGGTAGTCCCGCTAATCTCGAGACGGTTATACCCGGCAATCTCGGGACCGTCGGTTACACTCGGTAATCTCGGGACCGACGGTTACACCCGATAATCACGCCGCTGACAGTAGCTCACATCGGCCCCTACCGAGCTTCCCGGTAGGTCGGACCTCGGCCAGGTTCACCTCGGCCCTCATACTTAGCATCTGTCAACGCTAGTGGTGGTGATCTCAGTGGTCCGAACTGGGCATGACTCATGAGTCATCTTGGAGCACCAATAAGGGTCATCCACGTGTCCAGGGTATTCTCTTCCCCAAACATTCACTAAAAGGTTGGACGGTCAAATCTCTAACCCACATGTTGAATTAAAAAATATTATATTATATTATTGTTATTTATTCTCCACATTAATAATGAAATATTCATATGATACATTTATTAATCGATCTAGTTATCTATCACATCACTTCAATTCAACTAAAATTAATCTAATAAAATAAAAATTAAAAAAAAAACTTAATATAAAGAATGAAAACAACTTTTTATGTCTCATCTATAAAAAGTAGATCCCAAAATTGAGTTCTATTAACCAAGTGGTTGGTTAGCCTTTTTTTTCCCTCTTATTATTTTTCAGAAGAAAAAAAAAGATAATCACGAATCAAAATTTCTTTTTTATTTTCTGAAATTGGACAAAAAGTCATAGTCTTTCTGTTTTCTGTTTTGAATGTTATTATTATGTTTTTTGTTTTTAAATGGTAGTGGGAAACCATAGCAATCACTACATCTAATGGCAGATTATTAAAACTTCAAATGGTGGGAAAATTATTAACTCTCTTTCTCTCTCTTTTCTTTTTTTCCTTTTTTTCTCTCTATAAGATTCTAAATATAATTTGTTTAAAAAAAAAGTTAAGGTGAAAAAAAAATTTGAATACTATTCTCCAACAAACTCTCATTCTAAACGTTGTTGTCGATCAAGACAGTGAAATCTCAATTTTATGGAAATATAGATAGAAATATCGAAAAAATATCAATTTCGATTGATATTTCGAAAAAAAAATTTAAATGTAAAAAATTTTAAAAATTATATTTAAATTAACAAACCAGCATTATTTAACTTAAAATTATTATTATAATATGATGTCTCTATGATATATATATCGAAATGTCAAAGGTAGATATCAAATATATAGTGTTGTGTGTAGAAAAGTAAAGGAAGGTTGAAATACTAGGTCTCTCCTAAAGACCACCTACCAGAGGGTCAATCTTCATACTTAGCCGTAAAACCAGTTGAAAAATCTCCATACGGCTAAGGACTTACCTACCTTCGATCTTATGCACCCGACAACCCGAACCTTTAGGACAAACGAGTAACTGCAGGTCGGATACCCTATCGGATCTCCAACCTATGAATAGATCGCTTCATTTCTGTATCAGGTATCACATTTTAGCTTGATCTTAATATATTGGTCAAACTTAAACTGATTTGAGTACTAGAAGGTTTACCTCTCTTATGCAGATCTTTTCTAGCCAAGTGATACTCAAGTTCATTCCAGCCTCATCCGTTGACCCATTCAGACTTTCGACTAATTTTGTTGCACAAAAATACAAACATACGAAAATATTAATGAAAATAATGCTAGCTTGTTCACGAAAAAGTTGAAATTGAATTGTGTCAAACTAGTTCGATTTTTTAACATTACAAACAAAAGTTAGTCGATTGGTTTGGTTTTTATAATTGTCCATTCGAGTCCTTTCAATGGTCAATTTTACCAATTTGAAATAGTTTGATGGTAAACGGTTGGTTTTGACTTTTTGTTTTCTTTTAAATTAAAATTATATATTCTTTCAACTTGATGATTGTGTTTAATCATTAAATTTAAAATTTTTAATTTCATAATGTTATTAACATTGTACTATACAAAATAGAATGATACAGTCATATAAATTACAATTTCATATGTTACTTAAAAAAAAGGATATATTAGCCAATCTAAACAAATCTCAATTAGTTAAAGTATATATTATCAACCAATAGGTCTCGAATTCGAATCTCAAACCCCACATCTCGTTTAACTTAAAACAAGGTATATTACACGTCTCTACCATAGTTCAAAGTTCAGAAACATCATTAAAGTTTTTAAAAATTTCAAGATTAAATAAACACAACCATTAAACTTTATGAACTAAGAATTGTAATTCTTACCTTTATATTTGGCTAAATACTTGATTAAGTCTTTAATGTTTGGGTAATATTTTAATCTACTCCCTCCTTTAAAAAGTTTCAATTTAATTAGTACCTTACATTTTAAACAATTTTCAACTATACTCTTCTAACTCTTCTAGTTAAAATTGGCATGATAAGCTTTTACTTGACATGATATTTAGGGAATCGGTAGTAATTTAAAGGAAGAATTACCTTAGAGATGATTTTTGAATTTGATGGCTCCTAACACTCATAGGTTCAAGAATGATAAAACAAGATTTTTATTTATGTTTGAAAAAATTAGAAACGGGAACAAAAAAAACAAGAAACTTGTTTAATTTTACTGTTTCGAAAACTTCTATACACTTTTTGAGAATATTTTAAAATATAAAAAACAAGAAATATAAATACTTATCAAATGCTTAGATTTCTTAATAAAATTATAAACGACAAACAGAAACGAGAACTTTATCAAATGGACTCTTATTTTTTTACTCATTAGATATCATGTCATTTTTTTTTTTTGATAAAAGAAAACTGAGAAACGAAACACAAATTAAACATTCGGGAGTTCCAAAAGAAGAAGGTTGAACAACCACGAAGGCATATCTTCCTCTTCCCCACGCTTCCAAAGGGCAAAATCTTCTCCATCTCTGGCTCTCTTTGCAATCTCATGGGCCACTAGATTCAAATCTCTCGATGCATGTTGGATCGACACAACATTTGCAGTCGATGCCAACTGAACGCCATCTTCAATGACCAATTTTATCTCTGTAAGGTCAGATTCTTTACCATTCAAAAGATTTATGACTTGAAGGCAATCTGATTCCACATAAATCGATAAATTTCCTTCTCCTTCCATTGTTATCGCTCTTAATCCTTCGCAAATAGCCATAGCTTCAAGGATTAGATATCATGTCTTAAAGTTTATCACTAGCCAATTTTAACATTCATCAATGAAAAAAAAAAGATAAAATTGAAAAATGTGTTAAATACATGAGAGACTAAATTGAAAGGAAAAAAACACCCAAACATTAGAGACTTAAACAATACTTTAGCCTTTATTTTTCTTGAAATGATAAGTCAACTAAACTAAATTCAAGTAAAAAACTAAACCAAACCAACTTATTTACCTTTCTAATCTCCAATATTATCCTCTACGGTTAAAACAGTGGTAACTTTTTCTGAGACAAGGAAAATTCAAATTGTTACTCCTACCATTGCAAAGGTAAAAATAAAATCGATAAATCGAATCCTCATCCCCACGACCGTAACTTTATATTGTAATATATATATATATATATATATATATGCATATATACATACATATACATATATATATATAATGCTTTTTTGGGGGAAAAATATTTTGTTTTATGAGTTGTTAGTTAGCATGCTTTAAAACAGTGATTTTGAAGCTTGAATTTGCATGTGTTAGTGTCAGTTAAACAATGCTCACAATCATTCCTTTAATTATTATTATTAGGTTAGAAAAACGTTTGACTGAACTTTAATTTAAGCCGCGATTTAGTTTCACAACTTTAATCTGTAACAGCATAGAATTTATACTTCCAAATTTGTGTTGTACTAAAAAAAAATATTTTTAAATTTGTAACAATTTAATATCTAAAATTTTAATATGTAATAATTTATTCCCGTAGTTTAAAATTTGTAATAATTTAGTTCCTACTTACAATAAAAGTTCACATAAAAACTAAGTGTCTATTTTTTATTGTATAACGATTTGGTCTTAATAAGTGTATTTAAATACACTTGATACATTTTCCTCAAAAAAAAAAAAAAAACTTTGATACTTATATAAGAAATTTCATCAAATCTTAACAATATTTTTTTTATCACAGAGACTACAATAAATCGTTACACGTTTTAAACTAAAAAGAATAAATTTTTTTTAGTATAACATGTTGGAGAGGAGATTCGAACTCACAACCAACTAAAAAGAATAAATTGTTGTATAATAAAGTTCATGACTAAATTGTCATAAATTAAAAAATGTGAGGACCAAATTATTACCCACTAAATTTGAGATACTAAATCGCTATTTCAACAAAGGTACAACGACCAAAAGTAAAATTTTAACTTTATTATTATTATTGGGCTAAATTACAAAATACTCCATAACTTTGCCATTTGTTTCAAAAATATTCTTATCATTTTAAAAATTTTAGTAGTATCTTTGACCTTGCAAACATCCGATAACATTAGCAATTAAAGTTGAAACTTGTTGGGATTAAGTGAGAGAATGTAGAAGAAAAAGTTATCTTTTTTAAAGGGAGATTAGTGTAAAATTCGACAAAACTAGGTATAATTTGACTTTTTTTCGAGCATAGCTCAAACGTCATTGACATAATCTCCAATCGAGATTGTGAGTTATAGCATCGTTTAAAATATTAATGGATATTTCCCCATATTTTCTCAATCCTTTTTTCTTCATATTCAAATCCAAAAAAAAAAAAAATCCATTTTTCTTCCAATTCCCCTTTCACCGCATAAATATCTCCTCCCCCTTTTACCCCCAATTCCCCATTTCATTCTCTCATGGCTCAATCCTCAGATCAGATTAAAGAATTCAGAACCTGAGCTTCTTCAACAATTTCAGCTTCAATTTACCACTTCACTCTGAAAAACCCAACAAATTCTGTATCTCCGACCTTATGATGAAGGATTTTCCTTCTTGTTTCGGCGAAAATGGCGTCCAAATTGCAGATTCTTCTTCTTCTTCTTCTTCTTCTGCTTCCTCCTCCTCTTCTTCGAGCATCACTAAAGCTGCTCAAAACCTAGTCACCTGCGTGTACCAGTGCAAATTACGCGGCCGATTGAGCTTCATTGTTCTCACATGGACCAAGCATTTGATGGGGCAAGCCCTCTGTCTTCAAATCCAGAATTCCGCCAATCACTGCCTCTGTAAGCTCGACATTAAGCCATGGCTGTTCTCCAAGAAGAAAGGATCTAAGATCGTCGACATCGAATCGAGCAAATTGGAGATCCACTGGGACCTAACAAACGCCAAATTCGGCTGCGGACCGGAGCCGGAGGAGGGATTCTTCGTCGCGGTGGTGTTCGACCGCGAGCTCATATTCCTCGTCGGCGATTCCGCGACGGAGCCTTACAAGAAGATCGCCGCGGCGGCGGCGGTGTTCGTCGCGAAGAGAGAGCACGTCTTCGGGAAGAAATCGTACTCCGCTAGGGCTCAATTCAGCGAGAGAGGGCAAACGCATAACCTCTCGATCGAGTGCGACACCGGCGGGATTAAGGAACCGAGCTTGGTGATTCGAATCGACAGCAAGACGGCAGTGCAGATAAAGCGGCTGAAATGGAAGTTCAGAGGGAATCAGACGATTGTGGTGGACGGAATTCCGGTGCAGGTGATGTGGGATGTGCACAATTGGCTGTTCGGGAACGCTGCCATGAGCAGCGCCGTGTTCATGTTCCAGACGCACAAGAACAGCCAATCTGGTTTTGATTCTTCTCCTTCTCCTTCTCCTCCTTCTTCATCTTCTCCATACTCTCAACAGATTAAAGATTCAAAGTTGCAGTTGCAGGGTTTGGATTTCTCCCTAATTCTATATGCTTGGAGGAATGAATGAATACAGAAACAAAAACACTTTTATCTAAAGTGAATTTTTTAAATCGGCGTTTGTTATATTTATTAATTATTTTTTTTTCCATACATGACATATCAAAATTTATAGCGTTTTGTTCTTCTCATTTGATCTCAAATTGCACTTTTTTGTTTCCTTTTAGAACTGGGATTTCCTTTTTTTGACTCTCAAGTTTGGGTGGTTGATATCAAATTCTAGTGAAAACTTCAAATTAGTTTGATTTTGTCGATGGAATGAGTTCTCATGAGTGTAATTTGAAATGGAAAAGTATGAAGAAAAAGGAGTTAGCATATGTTAGATAAAAATTAATTGTCATATGGGGTTTACTTGGAATAGAAAAGATCGATGGAACCATGATGGCCACTTATCTTAGGAATTAGAAATTTTCATGTGTTTCTCGACACCCAATACTGTAAGGTCGTCTCGTAAGAGTAGTCGAGGTGTACATATGCTGACTCGAACATGAGGAAAAAAAAGATTATTGGAAATTTTGAGATAAGATAAAGATTTGAATGGATGGTACATTAGTCCTGGGAAAGGGAGGAACTGAATCAAAGTTTGTTATTAAATTGAAATTAGAATCTATGTATTGTATTGAAATTTGAACGTGCATTGTTGAAACATCGAGAATTTAAAAAATTGATTTTTTTCGTTGAACTGATTTTTGAACACCTACTAAATAAGGATTCAGCGTATTATTAAATTGAAATTCAAGTCTCACTATTTTGAGGTAGAGAGAACCAAAATTGGAACAAAATTAGTGTTTGAACCTCCAACTTAGTAGAGTTAAACTCGTGTGTAAACAAAATATTATTGGTAGAAAAGCTATTTGTTACCATTCTTGAATTTTGTATCACCCAATATGTTCTTTTCTTTAAAAAGAACATCCAATATGAAAGAAGAATACTGATTATTTCTGATTTTGAATTAATAAATGATTGAAAACTATTTTACCATCTCAAGTAAAATCTTATCCTATAGCTTTATTGCTTTTCCTCACTAAATATAATCAAATTTCCAATTCAACGTTCAAGAATACAATTATATGTAATAAACATCAATTGTCACAGGAAGAAGGACAATGAAACTCTTTACCCGTGTTTATATATATGTATATACAACTGCCAGTGAAATCGAGTCTCCAATCTTGCCGCCGGGTTGCCCGGTACATGTAGAAAACAGTCATTAACAGCATCAGATTCACAAAATATGAAAATGAACAAGATATTCAGAAACAATTACAACTTGTACAAAATCTCATCTTCTTTGCTTCTTTGAGTTGGTGATGGTGAAAAAGGTGTCATCTTCTTTGCTTCTTTGAGTTGGTGATGGTGAAAAAGGTGTTCATGGATCTTGAACCCACACTCTCACTGATCTATCCGCTTCAAGTCCTGCAGATGCAATTTTGTTCTCAGTTGGGTGACACGACACAGAAATGACAGCATCCGTGTGGCCTTCAAGTTTCTGAATCATGTTTTTCCCCTGTAGATCCCATATGTAGATGCATTTATCCTCCGACCCGCTGATGATGTATTTTCCATTGGTGACAGAAAATGTCGACACAATGCAATAGGTTCTATTCAAGTGTCCTGTGTATATCTTCAAAGACTTCCCAGTCGAGTAGTTCCATAGCTTCTGCACCCCCAAATGCACAAATATGATATAACAAAAATGTGAATGTCTAACCTTAAAAAGGTATGAACTAATTGTATCAACCACCAACAGAAAGTTGCGCTCGAGTCTATGAATACAAAATTGTACGAGTTTTTAATCTATGCATCATCACTACCAGAGTCTATCCCAACAACATTCCATAGTTTACACAGCTACTAAGATGCAAGAAAGGAAATGGGACTATTAGACAAGAAAAGCTGTACAAATTGGTATAACCAATCCTCTAGTCAAAGAGTAATGGTACGGTAAACATAAGCAAGAAAGAGGCTAAATTTTATCTAGATAACAGAACATTCCATGCTCTGAACTAATGTTTACTTCCATGAAGGTTGCAAAAGCCTATAATTAGGAAAATTATAAACAGGGTGAACTCAGTCGGTTGTTAAGTCACCAAAAAACCAGAGTCTGAGCTACATATGCTCATAGTTCATACACTCATAGTGCGAATTAAAAGGACATGGGTACAAAAGACTGCATAATTCCGCAAATGCTATCGAAGCTGTTGAGCATGAAAACGCCTGTAAATTGTTATTATCAAAAGCACAAACTTCTTACATACTCTTAAAATTTGTTTTCTTGCAAATGCTACTAAAAGTTTGGAATGATTACAGAATCTTAAAAATCCAGGATTTTTGAATTTCCTGTAGAGCCTCATTGTCCTACTTGACAGGCTTGTCATCGAGGATACAGAATGATTGTTCTTTCAAAACTTTGTCTGTGCTGAGTCAAGACTCCTGATCCTAAAATAACAGAGTACGACTCAACTAGTTTGAGCAATAACACCACTATACAGTTTTTATCAATCATTGACTAAATTTCACTAAGAAGTTAAAAACTTGAAGAAGATTAATAGTAATCTGTTTGTAGAAACCTGACCAACCCAGAAAAAGCTCCTCCAGTATTCAAAAATGGAATTCCTTCAAACGTCTTAAGTTTTCTTTCCCCACATAGGATTATCGGATCACGACAGAGAAATGGCCAGGCATTAGGAAATAAAACATCTTGAATATCTTTATAGGCCAAGTTTGCGTTTTCGGGGGCTAAGCTCAATCCAGGGCAGAACCGTAGTTCTGAAGGAGCCATGTAAAAGGAAAAATAAGCAAAGAAGAAGACAATTTCAGCATGAACTTCTTGCACATTTTGATTTTAGATTAAAAAAAAAAACAGTAGGAATGCTTATGATCCAACGAAGCCACAAATGGAAAGCCCCTCAATTTAGCTTACTAGTTCCGATTTCCTTATCAAACTCCATTCTGAAAATACCATTTCCATCAATCTCAACAATCAATCAATCAATCAATCAGGCAACAAGCATACTATCATCAAGAAGGCAATTCCAAAACTTCAAAACCCAAAAAGAACAACTTACAAGGGTGTCATTGAGAGTAGCAACAAGTATGAACTTGCCATTGGGAGAGAACTTAGTAAAAGACACAGCAGGGACCTTATCATCAATGAGAGTCTTCAAGCAAATCCCGTTGGAGGCATCCCAGATCTTACAGGAACCATCATGACTACCAGAAACGATAAGCGAACCATCGCGATTAAAATGCACAGAAGTGACAGGCATGGAGTGAGCCCTAATAGCATGGAGGCACTTCCCAGTCTTGACCTCCCAAATCCGGATCGTGTCATCGAAGGAACCAGAGACAATGAGGTTGGATTGGGGGTTGAAGTTGACGCAGAATACGAAATCGGAGTGGCCGCGTAGGGTTTTGACGCACTCGCCGGTGGAGGAACGAACGTCCCAGATGCGGAGAGTGCGGTCGTCGGAGGCGGAGCAAATGTAATGGGAATCGGAGGACCAGGCGAGATCGGAGACGCCTTCGGAGTGGCCGACGAGGCGGTGGCGGAGGGTGAGAGAGGTGGAGGACCAGATGATTAGGGTTTTGTCGAGGGAGGCGGAAGCTAAGAGAGTGCCATCGTTCGAGAATTTCACACAGGACACGGCGCCGGTGTGCGCCGTCAACGTTCTCAGGTGCCGGTACGGTTTGTGCGGTTGCTGCTGGTTCCCGCCGCCGCTCGCCATGGGAGAGAGACCTCGACTTGGCTGCTGTAAGTTTTGAGCATCATCCAATGTATATATTGGGCTTTTTTTAAATAATTAATTGGTTAAATACAAACACACAGATATATATATATATATTGACAAAAATTAATTGGTTAAATATAAAGATTGATTTTAGTCATCAGACATTTTTCAAAGGCTAAACCAACAAAATCATAAAATTTATTCCTTGAAGATTTTCAATTATGTTTTTTTAGAAAACATTTGTTTCAAAAAAATTGATTTGTTATCAAATTATTATTTTATTAATATATTTGAATACGTGATCTTATTAGCTACTTCAAACAAGTCTAGTAGCTGTGGACAAAATCCATTTCCATGGAATGTTCATGTTCATGCGACCAAATAATTAATAAAAAAAATATTTAATGACAAGCAAACTTTTTGTTAATATATTTTTATATTGTTTTATGAAATAGTCTAATTTGTAATTTTTAATACATTAAAGGTAAAATTGAGAACTTCAAGAGATCGGTGAGAACTGACTTGAGAATTACTTAAAAAATTAGAGATTGTTTAGTATATTTTGCCTTTTTTTTTAATTTGCATTATTCATTTTTATTAAGTTCTTTATTTAAAAGAAAGTTTTTTTTTTTCCTTTTTTTTTATAAGTATTTCCTAACAAATAAGAGGATGGAGATTTTTACTTAAAAGAAGAAAACTAATATATAATCATTTGAGCAATATCTAAATTTAACAACAATAATAAGTATGATAAAATTGTTAATTTGAACCTAACTCAATGAATAAGACAACTAAAGTTGATGGTTTCGATCTCTCACTCCACAACTATTGAACTTTAAAAAATATACGATAAAAAAAATATATGATGTGATACTTTAAAATATGAGTTTATTCTTTAAAATGAACATGTCCATTTGACGACTAGGTTATCAACTCATACAAAAAATTTGACCTATGAGAAATAAACTTACTTACAATAATAGAGGTCAAGTCTCTTTTAATCTCTTGTATTTTAGTATTTTTTTTCACTTTGGTCTCGTTTTAACATCTTAATCATGCCCTTCCCACGGTTGAATATTAAAATTAGTTGCTAATATGAACTTAGTTAAGTGGTTTAGACACCTTGCTCCTTCTCAAGAAGTCGGAGGTAAAAATCTCAATCCCTACATTTAGTGTACTTTAAAAAAAATGTAAAAATTAGCTTATAATTCCTTTTGAGATATTATGATTCATTTTCTAAATTTATGCCAACTTATGACAATAGTGTATCAAACAAATATAATTTCATCGTGTATAAATGAAATTAGTTACCTTCATTTCATAACCTATGCTTTTAACATAAAATGTATAATTGAGGAATGTTAAAACATAAATGATCAAATTGAAACATTTTAACCAAACAAGTACAAAAAACACACAAACATTAGGCGTTAAAATATATATTTTGTCCATAAATGTATAATTTGAACGTACTGCTAATGTATTTGTTTTATTATACTAATAACCAAAGGCACTAAATTTTTTACAACATGGTGACATTTTTCACATGTCTGGTGAATTGATATTTTCATAATATCGCAAATATATATATATATATATATATATATATATATCATCAAAATATCACTAAAACAATATTAATATTAATAAATATTAACTTATTTAAAAAGTAAAAGATTAATTTGTTAGTTCATTTTTTATTATTATATTTATATATATTTTAGAAATATCCAAGGTCAAAATTTTATTATTGATATTTCCTTACATTTCCAAGAATCTTGTTATATGCATGTCACGTCAAAACGAGCATAGCTCAATGGTAATTAACATATATCTCTAACCAAATTGTAAGTTCGATCCCTCACACCTGTGTTTGTACTAGAAAATAAACAAATAAAAAAAATTATATGCATGTCACTATTTTATACATCTAACATTTTCTTCATTGAATGATTTTGACTAAATAAATTGATATGTTGCGGATAAATTTGAAATCTTCATAACAATAAAAATGAAACTATAAAAAGCATATTTAAGAGCAATCTATATATTAGCCTAATTGATTTTGTAAATCATACCCATATTCTTCCAGAAGAGTTTTCAACACTCCTCTATATGTTTTATTTTTTAAAAAATGACAAAATAGTGATTTGTTTTAATCCACTGGCATTTCAAAACTATACCAAAAAATTACTCACTAACCCAACCAAACCGGTAAGTCACACAACATTCAGCCACAAAAATGTTTAAACAGGGAAATACTCAACTTAGTCGCAATGTAAAGCATGTGAAAGAAACCCTAGTTGAGCAGCGAAAAGAGTCATTCAACATGATCAAAAAATAACCAATATCGACGAAAATAGTTTGTGCAACCACAAGAACACACAACATGGAGAGAGAGGGAGCAAGAGAAAAATTTTGACAAATCGAGAGTATTAGTTTGCCACTTATCAAAGTTTAAACTCGGATCTGATGAAATTAATTCTTCATTGAGGCGAAGTATAGACTTAAAAAATGAACTTTTCCCCCTAGTTTCAACCATAACTAAGCCTGATGAATATAAATCAATGTGAAATACTATAGAACTTTTTTTTTTTTTGTGTAATAACTGAGAGTCGGAACTTTGCTCCTCTAGACCTAGGGGCACCTACACCTGCCTTAAGACCCGGACTTGAGAGAGGAAATACTATAGAACACTTAAAAGGAGGGGGAAAAGGAAAAACAAAAGCCAACAGCAGCAGGACCCACCTGACCAAGATTTGCTCTTTCTCAAGAAAAAGGGACACGACATGAGAGCAATAACTGCTGCATTCATCAGACAATGCTATATAATGATTTGAATTGCTGATGCATACAAAATGTTATATCAATTAGAAGAGTAACTTCCAACTCCTATTGAGTTGTGATCAGGATTCAAATGCACTACAAAAGCAATGGTATAACAAAATTTACATTCATGGCAGATTAACATCATCGGAGGAACTAAAGCTCTCTAGCAAACGACGACAAAGCCATCGATATCTACGATATAATAACGAGGGAAGGGGAAAGCTACTAAATCTCCACTCTTCTCTCCTCTTTATTTTTTGTATTTTTCCTCTTCTAGAGAAAGGGTTGGGAGGAAGGAAGCTACCTGGATATAGCTTTTGGGTTGTATCTCAGTAAATAAATGGGGATGTCAAGTCAACCAGGCTACTGGTTCAAAATTTTTCCAATCTTCGGTAAATCGAAGCACCATATCGCACTCATGCCCGCACCCAATGCCCACGACAGATTGTAATGTGTGAAAGCATCCTCCCTACACCGTACAAGTTAGGGGATTAAAATGGAAAACTATCAATATTGAAAGCACATCACATCTCAAGAAAAGAAAAAAGGTTTAAATTACAACACAACATTACAAATTCAGAGACAATTTAGTCTCTGAAGTTTGATGACGACATCAATTTCGCCTTTAAGATGTAACTCAATTTTGAATTATAATTCTACATAGTTCCTATTATTAGCCGTTAAAAATATTATGATGTGTCATGCCTATTCGACAAAAGTTGCTTTGGCGCAATGTGGTAGAAAAATGGCAGAAAGAAGTGATAGTTGGATAAAATAAAGTGATGTGTGCATCAAGCAATTATAGACCTAGTCACGCTATTTTATTCAGCCATCCACGTCCTTTTTGCCATCTCTCTACCAAGTTGTAGCCATATCAGCCCCAGTTTGTCTAACAAGAATTTGAGACCATATTTAATTAATGGTAGTAGTTAACAAAGTTAATGTCACAGACTACGACACTACGCAGAATCAAATCTCCCAAATATTACTAATGAATACCTAGTCCTTGTCACAATCGACATTAGTATCCCTGTAAGTTATTTATTTCCTTGTTTAACAAATCTACCAGAGGGAGCACTTTTTAAGGATGTCTTGGAGTTAGTTTGTCAATCTATTTTCTACAACCAAATCCCTCTATGAAATCCATGGTCGAATCACCACCCCCATAGGGAAAATTGAGAATGATAGTGGTATTTCTGCTGCAGACACGTCACACAGGTTGCCATGAATCCGCCCAAGATTTGTGCATTCCCTCCCAATATAAGTTGAATGTCATTCTTTAACAGCTCTTGAGTTTTTCTAGATGCCCCTAAACTAGACTGCTTCAAAACTCTTGAAGTAACAGGAACATGGTTGGAGAGCTTTCAGGGATCATAAATCTGTCAAACTTGAGTTGAGCAGATTCCAAGGTTAAATCGGAGACCTACTATCGCTCCCAAATGGATTGCTTAAAGTGTGATCAAAAGGAATCTTGGCCAATTTGTTGGGATAAGGAGGTAGTCCTCTTGCACTAATATATTAAAGGTTAGAGTTACATTTGGTGAATATCATGAATCCACGGTTTTATTTTCCAACCACGAAGGGTATTGGATTACAAAATTCTATCCTAGTAATTGGTTAAACTAACATTGGTTTTCAATGCTAACAAAAAACTGCTCCAACGAATATTTTAGACTTGTTTTAGTCCGTGCAGATGATGAACTTCCTTCCCAATAAGATAGCCACCACTTTTGCAATGCAAGTACAATTGTAACTACTTTACTTTTCATTAAAAGACTATAAATGGGCTTGTTTGATCAAAATTGGCCGAAATAAGAAATAGGCCTCAATTGTTCTTAAGCACTGCCACCACAGATGGATTAGCCTCTACTACAAACTAAGAAGCACTAACATGGACACGCAACACGGATACGACACGACACAGACATGGCAACACGCCAATTTCCAAAAAAGTAAGACATAACACGCTGGGGACACGTTAATTGTTTTTTAAAATATATATATATGTATGCATATTTTAACATATTATCAATATTCAATACTATTTTTACCTTTAAACATCAACATAAATACCATAGGTCCATAATATTCATACAATAATCTATGTCGTCAAAAACATCCAATATCTAATAAAACAAGTCTTACAAACAAAAACTACAAATCAAAATCAAACAAAGTCTTCTAAACATTTTCCCCAACATTCTTAGCATCATCTTCACCAATTTGAGTCCCATCATTAGTAAAAACTAACACAGAAGATAACGCAGGAAATGGAGGGGCTGGGCGTGAAGAGCGTAGAGAGGGGAAGGAGGTGAAGAATAGTATGTTTTTTTTACTGTGCGAAGAAGTAGAACTAGTTTTACAACATGATAATAATTTTAAACCCTAATGGACTTTGGGTCCGAAAAAAAACTCATTAAAAGAAAATGTTGAAATCCAAATCTTTAAAAAACTCACTTTACCAGAAAAAAGAAATTAAAAAAAAAAAAGGAAAAACGCCAGTAGCATGTCCCATGCGTGTCGGCTGCGTGTCCGAAAATAAAAAAATAAAAAATAAAAAAATAATTTCCAACACTTTTTCATGTGTCGATGCTTCTTAGACTACAAATTATTGTTTTGATATCCATGAGTTTTCGGGCCAGCTTAAGCGCAACTGAACTAATCTCATAGGACAACCACCTGACTACAACATTTGTCTACTGCAAATTATTAGAAAAAACAAACAGCAACATAGAGGTCGTGGCTTGTTCTAATAGCTCGAATTTGGCTTCTACTTAGCGTTGTTTGAAATTTGGTTTGAAAGGAATCAAAGGATCTTCAAGGGTAAAAGAAGAGTTTCGACCGAGGTCTTCAATCTAGCTAAGTTTAAGGCTTCTCAATGGTGTACCCTATCTAATTTGTTCGCGGATTATTCTTCAAGTATGACGTGTTCAAATTGGGAGGCTTTTATAACTCCCCATTAATTTTTGTTTTTGTTTTATTGTTTGTTTACTTTTTCACTCCGCCGAGAGTTCGTATCTTTGAACATTTTTCTATTCCTTTTCATTATATCAATGAAAAGTTCGTTTCTTGTTCCAAAAAAAAAAAAAAAAAAAAAAAACTAGCGTTCAAGCTAAATTTATCTTTCTTTTAACTGTTTGGCAAGGGGTCACAAAATACTCCTGCCACAAATTTTCTGTAGTAGCCTGTGATCCCCAAAATACTCTGTAACTCTCTAGATGTTTTAGGACCCTCCATCATAGCCTGAATTTTGCCCTCCCAAAACACCACATGGGAATCTTCTACTAGTGGCAACATGCTAGGGGTGGAGGTCCTACTCATGGGGTGAAATCAATACGTTTGAAGAAGAAAGATTTAAATATCAATCTCATCGATCTCGTAAGTGTCACAGATATTATATCCATTACCGCACACCGCAACAATCTTTTCATTCAACTACAAATAATGCTCCTCAAAAACGTCCAAGACCCTGCCCAAGAGGATAAGATGGTCTTCCGAAGTTCTACTATATACCAATATATCATGAAGAAGGGCAAAGAAAATTTTCCCAAGTATAGTTTTAAGACCTCATTCATTAATGCCAAAATGTAGACGAGGCAAAAAGGCCTTACTGTCCTTCAAGAGTTCTAAAGGCCATATTTGGTATGAATTCAAGCCCCGCTAGAATTTGATGATACCAGGTCCTACTCCATGAAAATGGTGGCTTAATAGGAACAAAAGATTGCAATCGGAACTGATAAAAGAATATTATTGAAATTAAAAAAGTAATTACGATATCCAAAACACTTTGAGAGGCCTGGACACTTTCCAAAAGCCGTTAGAAAATATGCTTGCCTTTAAACCCTCCAATCATTGAGTTTATAACTATTTCTCCAACAAAATCCTTGACCTTGACTAATAACTAATATTCCGAAAATTACCTTAATAATATATCCATAAAATCCTAATCGCATCTCTAATATTTCCCTAATCATATTTCTAACAAACAAATTAACTATGAGAATATCGTGCACTTGAGTTTTTGGTTGGAAATATAGATTCCTCTCCCTTGTCTGTCATTCCTTTCTCTTCTACTCTATCTGGCATCAATTTCACAATTAAATAGTCTAAGTTACTGCAAAGGCCCTGTTGGAAAAGAGCAATCTTTTCTATAGGATTTTTTATAATAATTTCTTTCATGTTATATCTTGGTATAAATTGTTACCTCTATTTCATTCCTATAGTTTTGTTTCATTATTTACCAATTGGAGCAATTTCGTGCAACTCCTTTGGCTATTGGGCCTTTCTCTCCTCCTCCTATAATTTCATACAACAATGAAATTTTTTCTTATCCAAAAAAAAGTTATGGGGTTCAAACCCGATTGGAAGACCCAATTGCATATTCCAATCGCAATTGAGAATAGGTGTTAGCACCCGTCTGTGACTTCCTTTTGCATGCCTTGCAGGATTGAAAAATATAACTGTAAATTTTCTTTGTTTTTCTAGTGAAGGGAAGCAGACAGGTTAAAAGTTTGCCAGCAGTCCAATATCACCTTGACTTATGCTCACTGCAATCCAATCCCAAACTAGAATTTTGAATGCATTTCCGAAAAATCTCATCCTATTACACTTATATTCAATTGTGCCTGTGTGTATTTGGGAGAAGGGGAAGAGAGCGTGAGCTTACCAAATTCATTTGGTTACTGCAATTACCAGCTCTTGCTAAAAACTTCCCTCCTACAGGGCCAGAAAATCCACCTCATCGGAGCTCTCCTCAAATATTACAAAGCTGGAATCTCGGCCATCCTCATTGCCACTACCTTGATCACTGTTATAGCTGCTTTCTGAAGAACTTATAAACATCGAATCAGATGTATGGCTGCTCAACTGTGATGGCAGACTGACATCACTGTTTATTTCACTCTCCAGCATCTGTTCAATTTCGAAATAACTGCAAAGAGATCCCAATGCAAAACAGAAAAGGTAATAGACAGTTAGAAGTGATTTAATTTAAGGATGTCAACCATAAGCTTATAAAGGAGAGACAATAGGGACCAGAATATGATATAGAAAACTATGAGAAAATACTATTCATATAAATATAGAAAGAGGAAAGCTACAATGAATTATTAAGAATTCAAACATTTACGTGGCTTCATTCTCTCTGAATATACTGTTCCCATAATCTGCCTAATCGAAATACCACCAACTCACTCTATTTACATTCGCTTAACCATAAGAACCAATTAATATGACTATTCGACCGTCAATATAATCCTAATGTTACACCACCCCTAAAACACATCTTGTCTTCAATGTGTGGGACAAATAATAGCTCTTGTTCAACTCTAACATTGAAGAAGCACGAATTTGATGGTATCAGTACACCTCCATACACCCAAAGGTCTATATCTAGTGTCAAACACATCAGAAGTATGTATGCTGATATACCCCATACCAATTCCCCCAAAGTCCCTTTACTTTTTCACTTGACCATTAGGCCAAACCATAAGGGATTCCCAGGTCAATTTGTGCACTGACTATGCTGGAGCTAAGCAATTATGAACCACTCCTGCAATACTTGGCTCCAAATTTTACTAAATCTTGCTCCAATATTGCCGAAATTGCCAGGGCCTAGATCTAATCATACCATTCCTAACCCTAATTACATCAACAATATAGCACTCTGTCCCTTATCCTTTTGAATCCATCCCTCGATCCACCGAAAATGTGCCGCTCAAACCCAGCTGCTTGATTCATTAATTTCATCTCTCTGAAATCCAGAAGCCTGACCCAAACTATTCTGAAATCAAGAAACTCAGTTATTTACCAGCACATTCCCAAAATCCGCCTTAACCCAATTCCACTAACTCACTCTATCTATATCTTCTTTTTCTTGTGACTCGTAAATTAATATGACTATTATACCCTCAATAATAATCCTAACTAGAGATTACCTTCCTTCTGATGGAAAATCAGCCAGCAAGCATACGTCAGGCCTCTCCTTCATTACTTGCTCAATTGGAATGATCCTGTTCATTAAAATAGTTAATAAGAACTATTTGTTTCAAATCTCATAGTACCAGATTTTTTCTTCATTAAGAGGAGGAAGATAAATAAATAGCTAAAACTGTAACCAAAAGGAGAGATGAAAGTTGAACTTTCATGGGAATATCCAAACAAATATTGAGTCTTATAGTAAGGTTTTTTATCAATGAAATATCACCTTGAATTGTAGCATCTCTCATACCAATCACCCTCAGATGCCAACCCTTCCCTATTGGATATATCCTGTTTAGTGAATAGTAATTATTCAAATTAAATATCATTCTGACCCTTTAACCGGATATTCAGAAGAAAATCATTGTCAATTTCCATCTACTCACTAGATGTCGGAGGAACTTGAAATCTCCAGCAAGTAATGATGTCATGAAACGAGCAACTTCCACCTGCATTTGAAAAATTAGTGTCTACAGCAATATTTGGGGAACGAGGTATCAAAATAGTAAATGATGCTGACCTCTTTTAGATGCATACAGTCTCTTAAAATCAAGACCTCCAATAAATTACCACCTATACTGTTCCCAAGGTTTCTGGGGAAAAAATAGACGATCTTTTCAATTGTCCAAAGCATCAAAAGATTATTATAATAGGAACAATAAAGAAAACAAAACAAAGAGAACTGTTACCTAAGAAAGCTTCCAGTAATTGAGTAGGATGTTGAAAAGTCAACATATTTCAGCTTCCGGAGTCCCTAGACAGAAATTCAAATAGATAAATCTACTGAGACTAAACTCCATGGAGTTACAAAATACAAGAGAATTTTGAGACAGTCACCAACAACAATGGACAAAGAAATCATAAAAGAACTAATCTACACAAGCAAACCAGGTACATCCATGATGCCTCTTGATGAATAAGGAACCCAGTAATTAGGAGTTCCAACTGTCAAATGGGCTCTTGAGAGTAGTGGACCAGTGGTGTTTTCTCAGGTTAGTCTCCATCATCCAAGCTTAGTGAGGTACAGGGGTGTCTTGATCCAGGTTTAATTAAGGGAATTTGGAAAATTAAAGTTCCTAAGAAGGTGAAAATTTTCCTTAGTCTATGCTCAATCTGCTAAGCACCTGAAATAACGTTCAAAGAAGGTTTCCCCATCATACCCTCTACCCCAACTGGTGCATTCGTTATCAGAACGTTTCAGATTATCAAAACCACCTTTTTCTTTTTCAGTGTTTCTAATACTATGCAGCTGATTGTTGAAGAAAAATTTATCAGAACGTTTCAGATTATCAAAACCATCTTTTCTTTTTCAGTGTTTCTAATACTATGCAGCTGATTGTTGAAGAAAAATTTTTCGTCTTTTCACATGTGCTGATGCTTCCCTAAGATCAATGAATCAACTCCCAATCAACTCCTATTCGGGCAGAATCATTTGGTCCAATACCAATATGGAAGTGCAGTTCTAAAGAGTAAGGAAGCATCAGAGTTGTAAAAAAGATGTAAGGAAGTGCAGTAGTCCAAGTCCGTAAGCCCAAATAGTGACAGAGTACGATTTACTTTTCATGTCAACTTGATCAGGAAGCAGAAGTTTTCCATTCATAAGTTGAGACTTTTTTTAATAACCTGAAGCTGAGAATTTTGATGCACTTAGAGCAAAAGATAAAATAAGAAAATGAGAAGACAAGATGCCACATGGATGAATCCACCAACAGTAGAACATGAGTCAAAAATATGATAAGGGCCAAATACATGGGTGCAAGCAAGCAAAAACACCATAAGTCATTGCTAGAACAATTAAGTAAATTGCAACTATCCTAGAAGATTGAGCACCAAATAATTCCAGTAAAACTAGTTGTTTAAATGACAAGCAGAACAGCATATATAGATCACCCATTATATTCATATAGTTAAAAGAATAAAATAAATAAATTATACTGTTGCACATGGCATACTTCCAAGACAATGTCCTAAAATTTAGAGTAATTAAACATAGCAATAGTTGAATTGTTGGCTAAATATTGTTCCGATATAAGAATATAAAATAAGCAAGGGAAATGATTTTATATGCATCACAAAATTTCTTGTAATTGCAGAGAATACCTTAATAAGTATGCGAACTTTGTAATCATGTAGTTTAAATCCTCTAAGGGCTAAAGACACTAAACGAGGACAGTTTTGAACTAGATCAACACATGTTGGTGATTTCAAGCTGTCATCTCTGCCTGTCATTTTCAAAATACCAACGAATAAGCATATGACTGGATAAGACTAAAAATTTGATATCAAATGAAGTAGATATCAAACCTGTTTTTGAGGATTCAAAGAACAAACGCTCTATCAACTGACAGCTATCAATCACAGACATCAATGTCTGTCTCAACTCCACATGGCTGTCCAATGAAGGATGTGGATTATTAACTAAAATATAAAAATAAAAGGAGTAACCCAACGGAGCGGTAAAAAGAAGAAACAGAGAATGAATTTAATTGTCCGAGATAGCATTCGCTTAGAGATCCATTAACATATACCATGTTCTTAACTGGAAATTAAACCTTGATGAGAACTGGTATAATTGTCCAGTTAAAAGCATCGTGCACCAAAAGAGGCCAAGAATCTATCGAAGAAGAAGGATATTGGCATATTTAAATTTTACTAAAAAATGGAGGAGTTAATCAAAGAGAGAGAGGTTAAAAGTAATAAAGGGACCTTTTATTATTGGAAACTGACATGAAGAAGTATGGTGAATCACTGATATCTAGAGAAAAATGAGATATTTCAGGACAAGGATTGAAGAAATCTCAGTCCTTGATTTCACAAAAGGTTGCATCTGAACAAGAGTTCACAAGTATCATCCTTTTTTTTTTCATGAGAACTACCATCTTCCAGTAAGTTTAAAACTATTAAAAAACCACAGAGTTAATCATCTAAGGAAACTTACAGGCCCACAATTTCCAGATCAAGGAGAGACGGACAAGCAGATAATGCAACACAAAGTGATGTATTATCCATTCTTTCAATATTGTAAAGATGCAATGTTCTTAAGAGCATCCTGCAACAAAAATCTTAACAGTTTAGAAACAAAGCTTCTATTTCACAATATGCGCATTCATAACTTCAAAATAAGCCTATACCCAGGAGAACTACTGCCCCCACCCAAAGGGCTTAAGCAGGATCTTGTAAGAACTGATGACTCCTTCCCCTGTCTGGATCTCTTGTCATTCCATGAGAAGCTAGTAACATCTACAGAGTTCCGGATGTTGTAAACCAATGGTTGGCAAGATCCTAGGGGTGCAGTTGGGCCAGGAACTATACCAAGCTTAAGAGACCTGAAATTATTGAGAAGAGAATAGCCAAGTTAACCAAAGCTTAGAAAAATATAAATAATGCAATTCAAAGTGATTCCTACCGAAGGGTAGAAGGAATTACAAATCCAAGTCAAAACAAATTGATGTTCAATGAACTTAATACTTAGTGCCTTTGCTGACATCTGGAATACAAATGGTTGGTAAATAAAGCAAACTAACATTATAAAATAAATCATAAGGGTGGGAAAATTCTATCATCTTTTTCATTTAAGAACAGAAAAGAAAAATATTATGGAGTAGATGGTGACTGGTGAGTGACGCAAGATTAGGAAGGACAAAATCCTTACCACAGCTTAGAAAGTCAGCAGGATGAGAATTGAGGTTCAGCTGGATTTCAAATCAATACTTGGGTAGTGAACAGTCAAAATATATTATGCAAAATGTATAAATGATGTTGACCAAAGGACTTGATTCAAAGACCACATAACTAATGAGCTTAATCATGTGTGCGTCCTTAAGATCCTCAATGAACTTATTACTGCATTTAAATGCGGATAATGGAAGATTGATTATGACTTTTTAGCAGAAAATATCTTACTGAAGGGAGTTTCCCGCTCGATGGATCATTGTAGAAACCACTGCATTATTAACTCTCGGAGAAACTGTTGTTAAGTCGATGTTGGCATAGCAAGAAGGATCCATTGCACACTTGTGAAACATTGAACAAGTAGCTGTTGCATAGCAAAGGCTCTGTGTGTCAAGCATGGAAAAAACCTGAAAAGCCACAATTCTTTATCACACACTCTGGCGAAACTCATCATTTTCCATTAACCATTCTAGTTGTAAGAACATGGATGATGGAACCAACCATAGATACCAGAAAGATGAGCTGAAGTGGTGTAACCAGGTAATGATGGTCTCAGCTCTCCAATCTCGAAATGAATGAATAATAAGCACAACCATAGTATAACCTTAATTCCACAATACCTTTGATGTCTTAACCTAACCGCTCATGAAAATATGAACTACTAACAGATACACATTCTCTCTAACCCATTGGAAATGAACACAAACAACTGAGGCTGGTATGGTATCTAGGCTCATCCATCACCAAAATAATATTTCACTCCCAAAACGCATTCCTGACAGCATGATTGGTTCGAGTTTGCTCAAATTTTAATAAAAAAACGCTATAATTTAAGCACATTTTACACGCGACACAACAAAATCG